AATTCGCCTGTAGTAGAAGCAACCATAGTTTCGCTAATGTTAGCATGAAACTTTAACGCATGTTTAAGACAAACATTTTGGAGAGTAGGAGAAATTCAAAGGGTCTGTTCCTTGATCAATAACTAGACCAAAGAACTGCAGAGGTATTTTGGACAAAACGCTTAAATGTGTTTTTTGTGATTAAGCATTAAGCTGCGTTCACACTGAAGGCATTAGGGGCGTCAAAAACTCAGAAATCTGGACGCTGGATCAGACTGTGGTCAGTGCTTTGATGCTTTAGACGCCCTGGTTGTTTTTCTGCTCTGTTCTGAAGCTTCAAACTTGAAAGCATCATCCATCCATCCATTTTCTGTCCCGCTTATCCCAGCAGGGGTCATGAGGGGTGTTGGTGCATATCTCCAGCTGTCGATGGGTGAGAGTCGGGGTCCAACCTGGACAGGTCGCCTGTCCATCTTAGGGCAGCTAGAGGGCGCTGTCACTACCCGATCAGTCCTGCGCCATCTGCATCCAGATATACACCCGGGTCTCCCTCAATTTTATTTTGTTAAAAAGACCTAAATGACGTTTTTCCCTCCCTAAAAATAGCATAGCGCACTAAAATATGTGTTTAAGGTTAATAATGTATTTTTGCATGAGAAAATAAATGCCTTAAAATCCTTCCTGTTTTATCACTCTGTTCCTGATCTGTACAGGAAATGGGATGCTACGCTACTTCCTGGAGCTAACTCTATCAGCTTTGGATTTAAACATAAATCTAGTCTTTTTGAGTTTTGTTTATCCTTTCATGTTAACATTATATTATATAGTGCAAGAAAGAACCATCTAAAATGCAGATAAACGTGGTTTAATCAGATTTACTGCTCTGAGCGTGTCCCATGATGATGTCAGAGAAGCAGTTTAACAAAGAAAATGGAAAAAGCTTCAAACTTGTCTCACAAAAGTCATAAAACACTTTTTAAAGATGTGCATTAGCATTATTTAGTGAGTTAAGGATGGAAATAAGTAATTTTAGTTCAATAATTACATTATTTATGGACACCTGGATGTATATCTGTTTGTGCATGATCAGGACGGATCGGGTAGCGCAATCAGCTCGGCTTTATTTACTTTATGAGCTGGAAAAATAGTTTTAACATGTTTTTAAGTGAGAAAGTCCACCTCCAAACATCCTCTGTTCATCAGGGTTATAATCCCACTATAATCTGCAGTTCTTACTGGGAGCTCCAGACCTCCAGCATACCGCTGGGAGGCAGTGCTGGGAATCCCAGCTGGAAGCTCTCTGCTGCGGCCAGCCTGTGGGGGATTTCCTGCTGCCGCTCGTAGCGGCTGGAAGTGAATATAAAGAGTTTTTAAGGTTTGGTAAAAACTGCAAGAACCAGAAAATACAATACAGTATTTTTCTTCAGCAGGTTTTAACATTTCTGGTTAATTTGGTTATTTATAAACTGTTTCTCCATAGTTCATAAAAATGTTTTAGTGAAGCAATAATGATCAGATCTGCTCTCTGTTCCTTTCTACATAACAGTTCATTCTACCAGCTTTATTTGAACCTCTACAGTTTAAATCCTTGACATTTGTTTATTTTTCATAAGCAGAATGTCTGCAGAAGCGATGGCAGATTGCAGGTAATGTCTGTCTCGCCAAAATCTAATGGATCAGCTTCTCTGATTGGCCGACGCCCCGGCGTCCAGCAGTAAAGGTTACATTTTCGGATACTCCGCTGGAAATCTCCCGGTCTGAACGCAGCAGTGAAAACGTCCACATTAGTAGGAAGCTAACCCTGTTCCTATTATAGCTCAGTGGAACCAGAGGGTTTTGTGAAAGAGATGCTTTAATATGTTTGAATCCATGAAATGGGCCTCATGCAAGAACCATTCAAACACACATCCGTTCCTAATTAAATGGTTTGTCTGACTAATTAGGGAGAAAATGTCACATTCATCATTTTTCTCCTATTTCTAATCTTCTCTCAGGGCTCCAGACTGGCGTAGGAGTCTTGTTCAATCAATCAGCTGTTATCCAAACTCAGTTTTTCACTTAATGACCACATTTGTTGTTAATTAGAAGTAATTCTCCATTTTATTAGGCTGCTTAAAAATAAAGGGAACACATAAATAACACAATATAATTACAATCAAATCAAACTTCTGTGAAATCAAACTGTCCTCTCAGGAAGCGACACTGATTGACCATCAATTTGCACGAGCTGTTGTGCAAAAGACGAGACAACAGGTGGAAATTATTGGCAATTACCAAGCAGTGGTTCTGCAGGTGGGAACCACAGAGCAGCCCTGGGTCCCTCTGCTCCCCCACAGGTGCCTCAGGTGGTGCAGCTCATCCAGGATGGCTCATCACTGCAAGCTTTGGCAGGAAGGTGTGCTGTGTCTGTCAGTGGAATGTCCAGAGGAAGGAGGCGCTACCAGGAGACATGGAGGAGGGCAGCAACCCTCCTTTGTCCAAGGTTGATCCTCCCGAGGGTGGGTCTTGGTTGTTATGTGGGACTGGACCTTGGTACACTCTGCTCTCCTTCCTTTGGTGACCCCCCCCTTTTTTTTCTAGAGCTCAAGGTGCCTGCCCCCTTCTCACACTGGGGGGTCTGAGGATCTCGTCCTGGGTCTGTGGGCCTGTTCCCCCCGTAGAAGTTTGGTCCCTAGACCTGAGAGGATAATGTATGTAGTTTAGTGTCTGTCCCTGTGTGCGTCTCCGTTGAGTGTGTGTTTATGTCCTTAAGCGTGGGATTGTGTGAATGTTAAGGAATGTGAATTTGTCTACCTGTCAGTTTGGGTGTTTGCCCCCCCGAGGCCCCATATAAGCAGGGCCTGCCTCCTTCCCCTTCTTATGCTCCCCACCGGTAGCAGGTGCCTGTGTTTGCTGCCACGCTGATGGTTCTCTGGGTTAGGTGCTTCAGTGGGCGCTGTCCCATTCCTGGTGGCTGCCAGCTGACCCTCGTGGCCCTGTTGGGTCACCACTAGGGGTTGGTGCACCGTCAGACACATGGGCTCTGATCCAGATCCAACTTGGGCGTGACCGGTTGCTGTCAGTGCCCATGGGCTCGCTGCCGTGGCCCATTGGGACCTCTCCACGATGTTACCAAATATCTGCTCATTCGGGTTTGCTTCTATTTTAATCAACAGTGTCTCTGAAGTTTAAAGTTTTAAAGGAAATCAAGGAATAATCAATGGATCATTATTTATACCGAAAACTTTAATGAATTTAGCGTTAATCAGTAAAAAAAATGAAAAAACCCCCACTAATTTTCATTGTGATCACTGAGTCTGGGAGCGGCCATCTTTGCCCAAATATAGTGACCCCTCCCTCCTGCCATCTTCCAGCAGTGACGTCACGGTGCGGTAAGCCTAGCGCCATTCTCCCCGCTTTACAAGCTAAATCAATGGGAACTACTAGACACATCTGCAATCAACAACAATCATTGAAGATTTCCAGAGGACTTCACCATTGAAATTCACCAGAGCTATAGTGAAACTGACAATGCCCACGTGCATGGCAGCTGGATGCTGGAATACATCGGGTAAAAGTGAAAAAAAAGAGTTATTCCACCTTTCTGATTCCTGATCCTCCACGGACGGGTTGGTCGTTGGATCGCCAACTTGAAGAGGGGCGGATCTAGAAAAATATTTATGGGGTGGCGAGAGGGGGGCAGGAATTTTTGAGGGTTGGCAGCATATGGCATTTGTTTACACTGAATTTAATCACAGTTATCACAGTTTGGTGAGAATAGTATGTACAGTAAGTGTTTCATGTGAAGCAGTTCATCTTAGAAATACATCGTACAATGAGATCTCACCTAATAGGAGATAGAAGAATGATTATACTACTTCTAGAGGGGCATTATCAAGGGTAAGATATTAAGGTAAGACACAGGTGCTGAGTCACAGATGTGTGAGATTGACTGTCAGAGAGGCAGCTTTGCAGCATTTGACCAAGAAGAAACTATAGAAAGAAAAAGTTTCCCATCAGAGATCTATGGACTGAGCTGGACTAAAGTGAGCATTATTGAATTGAGTTATTGAAATAAATAAACTTTCAATTATAATTCTAAAAAGAAAAGAACCTGCAATTCTATGTATTTTTATTATATTTGTTGAATCTTTTAGGATAACCTGAGGGACGACATATTAAAAAGATGTTTCCGTACTTATTCTAGAATGTTCTGTTATGGGCATTGTCATTTAAAAAAATCCTCTATGTTTGATATTATGCTTGAGTATTTTCTCAAACAAGATAGAAAAAATGATAGCTATCCTCTGAATCCGTTTTAAGATCTCTTCTGTCTTCTTCCTCCATAAATCTATGTATGCTCTGTTTTTTGTTGTTGTTGTTGACTATGTTCTTTATTGGTGGGTAGGAAGGGAAATAGTCTGTTATAATCAGCTGATTTCTTCTAAAGCACTTTCTGTGGCGCATAGCTTTATAAAACGCACTAATAAGCCCTATTAAGCTAAATCGACCAGAGTTTGTTTGTTTCTTTTGTGCAGGTCTGATTTAAGCCCAGCTAAATCTGGTCCAGACCAAATAACTGGATGGAGTCTAACTTGCTGAAATGGTCTGATCCGCTTCCTATTGGACTCTGGTGCAGGTTGCTTCAGGAATCATTACAAACTGGCCTCAGTCTCACCCAAATTCAAAAAGCTCACAGCTTTTGGGCTTAGCAAGCTACTGTTGTAGTAAATGTAATACGGAAACTATACCTGATCCACCTTATGTTGCCTAGCAACATCGCTACCAGCAAGTGTTGAATCTTGTTGGGTGGTATAAGGTAGGTAATGAGGTCTTTGAAGACAGTAATACTTTAGTTAAATACTGTTTATAAATGTCTGCATTTGATTGTAAAACTGAAATACAAAACTATGAGAAATCTTAAAAAGTATTCAAGGACAAATACATTTCAAAGCATATATTTTTCTTTGAATAACTTTTTATCTGATCAGTAAAAGAAAACCAAAAATAACCCAAACTGAACAAAGAAGAAAGTTATTGTTTAAAAAACAGCTAATCTATTTTAAAAAATGCATTCCGTGTTCAGCAGTTGGGATTAGAATGTTGGATAACACCTGGCATGTGATGTCACAAAGAGACTGCTGATGACATCACAGACTTTGGAAGGGATCTGAGCATAAACCCACCCAGTGTTCTTATCTGTTCCCGACCTTCATCGAGACAGATCCCTTTGGAGAAGCACGTTCGAACCTTAGCGAAACCAGCCAGACATCGTTCTCAGATATCACACGTCTTTTAGGTCGATATTCTGATTGATAGAAAGTTAGCCATGGAGCAAAAACAGTTTGTTTGTGGAAATGAAACCTCTCCAGCTAAACTTTCATGGGAAGACATGATTGACCTCCCCATCCAGGTCGACTATGAGGCCATTATTTTCCCAACTGAAGATGACAGCTCTGTCACCAGCGAGCTGCATCTCAGCAAAGCAGAAGATGGTCCAGAGATCCGAGGGGAAGCGGTTTCTTCTGCTTCCATTGAGGCTCCCCCCTTAGCGGAGGTTCAGCTGAAATCATCCATCGCTGCTGACTCTACGTCTCTAAACTCAGACGAGGTCCAGCAAGCATGTCAGCCATCTCTGAGGTTAGAAGAACCAAAGACTCGCCCCAGTGCAGGTCTTTCTTCTGAGACGCCGTACTCACACCATCATGGTAAGTGTTTTGTTGGTCAATACAAACATGCAGATTGGCCACATTTTGATAACCCAGTTCTTTATGTGTCTTCCAAACCAGATAAAAACAGGAGAAAGCCATGGCACACCGGGACCAACAGAAAAACTGATGTTGACCGCCCCAAGTTCTATCAAAGCAACAGGATGCCACGCCATGCGTCAGCGGTTACCATGATCCCTCGCTCGATGTGCATCGAAGAGGCTATCAAACATATCAACGATCTCACTCAGCAGGTTACTGCTCTAAAACAAGAGCTGCACGAGAGAACATGTGATCTGCATGAGGAGAGAGAACAAAGAATCCAGTTTCAGGTTGACTGCAAAACTCAGATGAAACAAATCGCAGAACTGGAGAAAAGTTTAGAAAGTGAACGTCGCATGAGACTCAAAAGTGAAGAGAAAGAGAAGAAGCAGGAAACATTCACTGTAACCCAGCCTACACGTGCGTCAAAGTTACCACGCATTCCCACAGTTACAGTGTGCGTCAGTGTCGTGCATGAGCTCGCCTTCCTGAAGAGGCAGGCTGAGAAAAACGCCAGTAGAGAAGGGAGGCTGGCAGAGGCTTTTGTAGAAGAACGAGAGCTGAGGCTCAAATATGAGGAACAGCTGAAGAATAAAACTGAAAATGACTCCAGACTCAAGGAACAGGAGGAACTGATCAAATCTCTGAAGAGTCAAGTCTCACAATTGACAGCAGAGTTGAAACTTCCTTTGAAAAAAGAACATCATGAAGCTTCCTCACAAACAGAGGAGTCCATGAAAACTGAAGCTTCCAGTCAAAAAGAGGCCCCCATGCAAAACAGGCCCCAAAGAAACAGATGTGGTTCCACAGTTAGAGGCCCCCACCATGAAAACAGGAGACAGAATCCAAACGGAGGCTTCAACCCAAACCCAAGCGTCTACATAAATGCTGGCCATCATCTGCATACAAGCCGCCATCGAGACGCAGGGCTGTACATGAACCAAGGCCCCCCCACACATGGAAACCACCATCCAACCAGAGGCCTGCAGGCAAACAGAAGATTTCCTCCCTACAGAGGCTATTAAACAAACACAGGCCTCCAGCTTGAAAGTGTTTTCTGGCCTAAATAAAGGCAACAGCTTTTAATATGAACATTAAAAAAGAAAAAAAAAGAAAAAAAATGATCCCCTCCTTGTGTCAATTCATATATATGTAAACAAATTCTATTAAGAATTGATAGTTTCAGAAAAACATGTTTATTACTTTAATTGAACACAGATGTTTGTTATTTCATTGCTTTGTTTCTACTGTAATCAGCTTTGCAAAGGTTATTCAGTTTTTCAACTGGGGCAGAAACATGGTCTGATTTTCTTCCTGCTCCCCTTTGCTTATAGTGAATGTGTGACAAACTGTTTTTTCTAGTGATTTTTACCATGGAGCAATAAATGAAGACATTGCCCCCCTGCACCTTCAGATAGGGTGGGGGTTTCTGTTTTCAGAGGCAAAGAGGTGGAAGAAGTACCAGACCTACTTTGTATCCCTGCGAGGAGGTTTTGGAAAGCACCCCTTTAGGGATTTTATCATTCCGCTCAGGAATCTTAATTCCCATGTGGAAAATAACAGTAATACCTGGAGCGGTGTGATCAGGGGCTGGGACGTGCAGAGGGGGGGGCTGAGGGTGCTTGAGCACCTGCCGCTAAGCTCCTTTATACCCAAAGTGTCCTTTGGCCTTTTTTTTATTTTATTTATTGTGTGCTTGTATCTATGTGCATGTGTGTGTTTGTGTGTGTGTGCATTAGAGGTGGAACGGTTCACAAAATCCACGGTTCGGTTCGATTCACGGTTTCCTGGTCACGGTTTTCGGTTCGATTCGGTACATGTTTATTGTTACACCGAAATCCCATAAAAATTTATTAAATTAATAAAAAAATCCCCCAAAAAATAATCGATTGTAATTATTTTTAATGATCCGCGGAAACCCTGGATCATTTCCGCATGTTTTGCTGCTTTGAATTTAATCATCTGGCGCATGCTCTCTACCATCTCCAAGGAACTCAGAGCGGAGCGGACGGGAGCCACAGTGGAGGCTGCAGGCTTTGCTTTGAGCAGCCGGTCTGGAGCGCAGCGGGGCGGAGCGCTGACAGAGTATGAGGGATTTCGGGGTTAGCATGACATGTTGGTCATGTTGCTGTTAGCATAAACAAAACGTGTTGCACAATGCTTGCACACTGTTGCACTTTTATCCACAACTTTCTTCCCGCCGTCATCGTAGGTCACTCTAAATGCAAAGTGGTCCCATACAGCAGACCTATAAAGTGCTGCTGGCGCGTCTTCCAACTCCTGTTCTTTCCCACTCGCCATACCCACACAATTCTCCACAACTGATTTTTTTCTGCTACACCCGGATACGCTGCTTCGCTTCTTCTTCTTCTTGTTTACTACTGGTGGTTGGCTTTGGTCGCAGTACCGCCACCTTCTGCTCTGGAGTGTAAACGCTTCGCCTATGAGAAAAAGGAGCAGCGCATGAACCGAACGCAACACACGCGAACCGAACCGAGACAGTCGAACCGAACGATTTGGACGGTTTTCATAAACCGTTCCATCCCTAGTGTGCATGTCCAAAATAATAATAATTTAGATCAGGGGTCACCAACATGGTGCCCGCGGGCACCAAGGGGCCCTCAAGGACCACAAGGGGGGCCCTTAGAGTCTTCTGAAAATAGAACAACTCAACAGTGAGCTACGTTTGAACTTTCAATGTATTCTGTTGCTCTTCTTTTTTTAATTGGGTTATAGAACATTTCATCATTTAATCATATATGGCATTTAAAGCTACAGTGTGTAATAATTACAGGGATATAAAGTCAGAAATGTAATATATTATATACTTAACTATGTTATTTATCATCACCTATGAGCTCAGCCTCTTAACCTTAATATTTGCGTTGCCTTAGAATTCGTTATTTATAATTACATAGGAGCGGGTCTCGCAGCCATGGAGGCTGACATCTTTGCGCTACGGCAAGCGCAGAGCCAACAAACTAGCGATTGCGAGATCGCCCATTACGCTCGAAAGTAACTACGGCAAGTTGAGAGAGATGAACTGAGACGGTACTGAACAGTAGATGGCAGTATTATGCCTGAGAAGCGTTTAGTCTGCCTGAAACCAAAGAAGAAGAAGAAGCAGGTATACTGCGCATCAGTAACAAGAAAGGTGAACAAGGCGGCAGGCGTGAGTGACTTTGCAAACTGTTTGGCACTGTTTGGCCAAACATCAGACGAATGGAGGATCATGCCTACTCTGTATCACAACGAAAAGCGGCGGACAACGAACCCCCGTCATCTAAGAAGCGGAAACACGACGAGAATAAACGCAAGCGTGACAAGAAACGGCAAAAAACACGGATCAACATTGGCACGGCATTTACACGATGGAAGTCACTGATGGAGGAAAAAGGTTTTCAAAGTGACGCTCAAGTTGCCAGTTTTCTCTTGGACAGGTAATTAATCCTACACACACAATTGTCTAATATCACTGCAGTTTTTGGAGTACAGGATGCTCAGACCTGTCTAAAACAATAACATGCTGCGTGATGATGCTGTTACTCTCCAGTATACTTATTCAGCAACGTCCCTGACGTTTCACAGGTAATGATTCAGTCATTTTCTGTAAAATAATTTTCAGGATATATACCTCGGTTACTTCTCTCCGGCTCCTTTGGAGATCTTCAAGCCTTTCCTCCTCTGCTCTCACCCCGCTGGCTCCCCTCCCTCGCCTGGCCCTAGCTGCACGCCCACCCCGGCCTCTCTGCCCTCGCCCTCTCCCTCTTCCTCGCCCTCTTCCTCTCCCTCTTCCTCTCCCTCTTCCTCGTCCTCTCCCTCTTCCTCGCCTTGTAACCCCCGTGCCACAAACAAGACTTGGACTCTGTAAACGGGGAATATATATTCTTCCAGCGAACACAATCTCGCTGTTAAACTAATGACTACAATTACTTCGTCTGTTTATATCACCATGCAAAGCAGCTCACCAAAACGTCACAACGATGTAGAAAAAATAACGGGTATATTTATTATCTTAAGTCTACATGAAATCTATACCCTACACAGACTAATGAAATACTATCTGTAAAATTATCTATGTAAACAAACCTCATCACTTGAGAAGGTAGGTGATGTGGACGTCGTGGAAGACATTTTGTCCCGTAACGCTCGCCGTACTGTTGGGGGGGAGAAGCGGTGGGGGGGAGATGTTCATTTTGCTGCAGTCTGACCGCTAGATGTCGCTGAAAATTACACACTGTAGCTTTAAGCATTTATAGAGATTTCAAAATGAAAATGTCTAAAAGAAAATGATGAATTTAAAGAAACGATAAAGATATGTTTAGGATGTATGAAGTTTAGGTGAACGTTGACCCTTGCCATTCATAGGTCAGTATTGGTAGCCCTTCCTGTGACTCAGTGCCCCTGAATTAGCCCTCAACTGTAAAAAGGTTGGTGACCGCTGATTTAGATCTACCGTGCCACGGTAACCGTGGCTGGTCACATGATCAACTTAACGTGCTCTCCCTCACTCTGCCTTCACTGCACTGATGTGCCCTTCTGCAAATAACCAAGCGCTGCTTCAGAAAAACACTGACTTCCAGAAAAAGTAAACATCTGGTCCAGTATCTACATTCTGCGGCGGTGTTAGTTTGTGCACGGTGTATTGTTGCAAGATGAGTAGAGTAGACTGACCAAGTTAAGAGAGCAATCAGCATCCTCTGTGCTTTCCAAACTTGCACACACCGCCTCACTCAAGTTAGAGCAGCTTGTCAGCGGCGCAAAAGTGGGTCTGCACTATAATACGCCGGCCTGGCTGAACTGGATGGAGCGCAGATCCAATCGCAGTAAAATCATTTATATTACAGCTGTCGCATCCCTGCCGCTAGCAGGTTGACTACACATGCAAAGCGTGTTATGGGGAAGAATAACGTCAGGTTTTTACTGTCTGTTTCTCCTGCCATGAGCAAAGTGCATCAGCACTAGAAATCCTGGAGAATTCCAGTTTTCCTGCAAGCCCCCCTCCCCTCTACAAGTTTGTGTATTCACTCTACCTTCCTAAATGTCCTTGTAATGCTAATAACCTGTGATATAACCAGCCCTTCTACAGGAGACTGGATAAAGGCTGAAACAAACTGGCATCAGAACCAGAGCATGCTCCAAACACTTTTCATTACCTGCTCCTGCAACATCAGACCTTTTTGCAGGAATATCTTGATAAGTCAGATCTAAATCTTTTATTTAGGCAAACCTATTGAACAACCAGATATCATACGGGTCCTAGTTCCTGAGCTGAGAACAGGTCATAACCAGCTTTTCCAACAAGGCAAGGCAGAGCCTATTTATATTGTCCATTCACCAACAGACTCATTTATATTGCAAAGCTCACTATGTGAAAGAAAGAACGACTTAGAGAATAATTGTATTTTGTCTTTTCTCTCCTTTTCACAACATTCAACATTTCAGCTTAGAGAATGACAAACAGTCTGATTTCAGTATTGGAGTAACATTTATTTCACCCAAGGAAAAGCTCTACTTATGAAGCTACAATTTAGCAGTTTTCACAAACCCAAGGTGAGTCCTTCCAGTTGCAGAGATTATTGTGCACCTGACTTACTTATAAAAACAATTAAGAAATCTCAAAAAATGGAGTTTAGCACATTTTCCAAAAGTAAAAGTTGTAGTGTGAACTAGATGAGGTTATCTATGTGTGCTACAAGTTTAGTGGAACTAAAATGATCCATAGTGTAATTATTGGTTATTATATGCTCATAATAACAATGAATAAATCTCCATAAATACAGTTTGGCCTCTCTTTCCAAAGTAAGAAAAAAAAGAATGTTAGAACTGTAAATATACAGTCATATGTTTATATTACTATTTTTTTTTTGTATTATTGTTTTCAAAGCTGCACTTTTTTTTTTTAGATTATTCATTGTTATTATAAGCATAAAAAAAGCCAATTATTACACTTTAGATCATTGCAGTGCCACCAAACTTGTAGCACAGCACAGAATGCAGGCTGTGGGGATCAAACCGGGTACTT